ATGGAGACTGGCTGCCCTTTGCAAAGATGGCGGCTGCAGCTTCATTTAGGGTAGGGAAGCTGCAGTTGCCATCTTTGCAAAGGGCAGCCTGGATTCCCGTAGCCTGCCTTAAGGGATTTCCTTAGCTTGCCTAAGGATTCCCTTAGTCTCTCTTTATACATGGTGTGGCTGCAAAGACCTGATGGAGACCTCATTAGATGGAGATTAGATGGAGATGGATTAGATGGAGACCTCGGCAGCAGCTATTAAGGTAAGGGAGTGTCACTGGGAGTGGGATGGAGGATAAGGTAGGGAAAGGAAGGGGGCGTGGGGGTAGGCTATTGGGGTGGCTGGCTGTGTGTGTGGGGAGTGGCTGCCTATCGGCTTCTGATCAGCTGATCGGCGGCTGGTAGACAGAATGGGTTTATGTGCCATGTGGTAAACTGTCCTGGGGGGACCCAGTTTGTGGGTGAATAACTCGGATGTCGATATCCAATCTTCACCAAAGTTGGAAGGAGTATTGGGGAACGATACAGGAAGTATCATTAAGTACCTGGGGGGAGCTTCCCTGGGTGGGTCCTCTTTGTGACTATATAACTTGGGGGTCTGTGATCCAATGCTCACCAAACCTTGAAGAGTTGTAGAAAGGTGTCTGAAGAAGCTTCCCTGCACCTTTGGTGTCTCTAGGTCATTGGGGGCCAGTGTTATGGCCCTTTAAAGTGCCAACAGATCGATCCGTCGATTCGTCGAAGAATCAACAGATCGATCCATCGATTCGTCGAAGAATATTCATATGTTCGTTTTCGTTGATCCCTTAACCTTCATGAATAACGGATCAAAACGAATTGCCATTTTTTAAAATGTGTCCCCACCTCTAGCAAAGACTTATAACCGGTAACTGCTATGTGTCCCCATCTCTAGCAAAGACTTATAACCGGTAAATGCTACTTCCCATGTTGTTTCGACACTGTATGCAAAGCTGGAGTGTCCTCTCCAGAGCATGAAGCCTGGGTAAAATAATATGAAGAATAGGCCGTTACCCAAGCAGCAAATCCCCCCCTCTCCACGTCGCTGAAATAGTCCAATGGAAAGGCAAGAGCCAATACAACTGGTTCCAGCGACGTTGCAGGAGTTGCCAGAACAACACGAACTGCCTCTGGGACTCTGGCTCTGGATTTTGCCTCAAGGTTAACTCCTGAAGCCTTTTCCATCAGTAGATATAGCCACAAGGCAGTGGAGGTTTGAAATCTGGGTTATACTGGTCCATCAAAAACAAACAAAACACACTCTTCTTTTAAAAGTAAACTTAATTCAAATGGCATATTGTGCCACTCATGTTAACTGGTTAGTTTCTGATGTCTTAATAGCTTTGTGTATCATGAAGTTGTTCAAGTCCTCTGAAGGACAAAGTAAAGCTCGACTTTGTGTGTTTCCTGGATCATGTGGCAATTTCTGTGAAGTCAGCAACAAATTTATTGATATTTGAGCATCTTTTCACATTTAGGAATGGATTTGCTAAAAGCTGTTCCCCTCCTCCCCTGAGTGTATATTAAGTTGTGATCTAAAATGTGGTACGTGCTGTGCAACAAGATGCAGCGTTTGCTGAGTCATCAGTAAAAGTCATGACTAAAATATGCCATTAAAAACCTTTTCCAGAGGCATTTTCAGTCAATATATTATCATGAAAACAGCCTGCAGCAAAGATGTGTTGTCTGGTGTGGTCCCAAGAGAATGTAATGATAAAGTTTACAAAATGTCTGGGTTAGCATCCATGTAAAAACATGGCCCAGTGAATTAAGCCTGTTCCTTCCTGCATCAAGCTTAAGGCTCCTGGGGAGATTTATAGGCACCCATGTTCTTCCCTGGCAACGGGGAAGCCCACTGGCACAATTTTTGGTGCATGCCCTTCCTCAGGCTACTCTGCTTATACTCCCCAGGCAGCTATTATAATTTAGTGAGTGCCTCCACTTTTCAGCCTGTTGTTAATCTACCCCCTCAGCTTTTGGTTTCTCTGACTTAACTCTCTCGAGACAACTAGGTCACTGGCCATCAGGCCTCTTCCATTTTGTGACCCTCAGCTCACTCCCTGCCCCTTAATATATTGTATATCTGCAGTGTATAATTACATCACTTTGATACCACTTTACGTATTAAGGCTGCATTGTACAGCATCCTGCAATCTGGAGTTTGATGAGGTAATGCTGTGCTACAGAGTGCTCATGCACTCCCCAAAACTATAACTGGGGGTTGTTGTTGTTATGTGCTGTCAAGTCAGAATCTACTTCAAGCGACCCTAATACAGCTTTCAAGGTAAGAGAGGTATTTACAGAGACATTTTATCTATTCCATTCCCCCAGTGATTTTCTATAGCTGAGCAGTGATTCAGATCCTGGTCTCCAGAGTCTTAATCTGTCACTCTATCCACTACACCAGAGGTCCCCAACTCCTGGTCCGCGGCCCGCTAGCAGGCTGTGGCCTTGGCAGGACCAGGCCGCAGAAACAGATCTCCTGCCTCCCCGCATGCACACCTTCACGTACATGCCCCCCACGGCTTGCCCCCACACACGTAGAGGTGGCTTGCCCTGCCGCGAGGGTGCCCTGCCAATCCACGCAAGCACGCCCCACTCACCCACGCATGCGCATGTGTGCAGCCCCGCCCCCCCGCGTATGGACCCCGGTCCACGGTTTATAAAAGGTTGGGGACTACTGCACTACACCACACTGGATACCTATAGCAAGGTTATTGCCAAACTATAAATCCCATAGAATGGAGTCATTACATTTAAAGTGGCACCAAAACTGATATATATTATACATGTAAATCATAGTTACTGTTTTGGATGGATGGATGGATGGATGGATGGATGGATGGATGGATGGATGGATGGATGGATGGATGGATGGATGGATGGATGGATGGATTGATTGATTGATTGATTGGCTGGCTCCAACCCCCATTTTTATAGAATTCTGGCAGATTGCAACCTGAAGACCATAAATCTTTAGGCTATCTACTACAGTCCTGAAGTAGTCTCTTCATCCCTTGTTCTTTGGCTGTTATAAAGAACAGGATTCCAGGTAGAAACACTCAAGGGAGAGAGAGGTGCAGATGACAAGACCTGAGAAGTAGGATGGGGAACCAAAGCTCCCACTTTCACCACAATATCATGGAGCTGAAAACTAGACATGGATTACCTACATTTCATAGGAATGTAAGAGCAGCTCTACTTACTCATCTAGTTGAACATTATGTTCATACAACGGCCCTCAGTGCCAGCCGGACATGGGTGCAACTGCACCCTTCATCTCATGTTCCTCAACAGCTGATGTATAGCAGGCACACCTCAATCCAGTGCTGGCATTAATATAATGACTACAGTGACTGAATAGAAAGTTCTGCAGAAATTATTTTGGTTAATTTGGGTAATTACCATTAGGGTACATCACCATAATTTTCATACCGTATCAGTTGCATAGTTTTCATAACATAACATCGTGGCCAGAAACCTATTGCTTATGTAGCATTCCAGTTGTGCACCCTGAAGAATATAACGTTAGAGTTAAATAGCAACAGTTTGCGTCTATGATTTGTGCTATTTGACTTAATGCCACCTACATAACAGGGTTCTGGTCACTGTGTCTGCTTGTGTGCAATAAAATGCCAAATATATGCAGAATAGCTTGGAGTGAGTGAGTGCTCCCTCACCCCGTGGACATTGTGGGGGTCAGTGGTCCATACAGTTATCTACTTCGTAAAATCATCCAGATCATCAACCACCATGGCATCTTGTGTCAGTGAATTCCACACTAATTCTGTGTGGTAAGAAGCAGTTTCTTTTATCTGTGTTGAATCTCCAACCATTCTGCTTCAGAGGATGAACCTGTTACGTTCTAGTACAGGGGTCTCCAAACCTTTGACAGTATGCACGATCGGGAACGGGCCTGGTAAAATGGCAAGGTGGTCTCAATGTGGCCCACGGGCCATAGTTTGGAGACCCCTGTTCTAGTATTATAAATAATGAATGTAGCATTAATTCTGACTTATGGCAAATCTTTCCAGGATTTTCTAGGTACTGTATAGACATCGTGTAGCATTAATTCTGACTTATGGCAAACCTTTCCAGGATTTTCTAGGTATAGAGTCCTCAGAAGTAGTTTACCATTCCCTTCTTCTGGGGGTGTCTTGGGACCATGGAATTTGCCCAAGGCCACACAGGCTGGCTCTTTTGGAATGCACAGTGGAGAACTAAACTCCCAACTTCTGATTCTGCAGCCAGATACCTAACTCAGCCAGTACTAGTATTATGAAAGAGGGAGAAAAAGTTCTCGCTATCTACTTTGTCCCTCTAATGCAAAATTTTACACACCTCTATCATGTCTTTCCTTTGAGACTGTGCTGTATTGGGCCATGTAGTTGGCCTATGCAGAGGTAGCAGCGTGAGCCCAGTGAAGATAACCCTCCCCACTTGCTGATCTCTTACTGAGCTGTCTACATCATCTCCTACATGTTTGTACCTTCAGCAGCCTTGCAAAAAGCAAAACAGATGCTTGGTGATTTAAGTGTATTTACAGTAGCATTCATCACTTACATAGATGAGGGCAGCAGCTGTTCCAGGGTTTCATGTCCTTGACTTAGGAGCATTTAAAAGTTCCTAACCTCTCATTCCTTCTCTTTGCACTTAATTGAGTGTTTGCCATGGAATCATATTAACAGTGATTGCCAGGGAGATAAGGGTGGAGGGAGCCTTGCTGGTGTCTATTTGTCACACTAATTAACTGCAGGGACAATTTGTGTTCACACAAGGAACAATTAAAAAAAAGTGTGGTTAAGGGGAAACCCCCTCTTCTTTTCTTCCTTTTAAATTTAGATGGGTCCTGTCCCCTGAAAGATTGCTTTGTTCACAAACCAGTTATCAGGGAAAAAAAATGCATTTCTGAGATGATTAAAGCCAGGGTTTAAATCAGAGTTGGTTCAGAATAAATTGCACACCCTAATTAACATTTACTTTGCTTCTGTTTAGATGAAAATTCTGGAGATGGTGAATTGGATCTAAGTGGAATTGATGACAGTGAAATAGATATGGTAAGACACCCCTCCCGTCACCATAATTATCTCTTTAGGCATGTGGCTCTGTTAAATATGTAAGATGTTATAAAGGAATAGGATTTTTTTTTGTTTTTACTCTGGAATTTAAAATACATTATTAAAGTGTTCTAATCTGGGGATGCAGCATGGTTAATTATTTATTTTGTTGCTGTGTGCCATCAGGTTGCTTCTGACGTAACAGTGATCCCATAAATCAGTGACTTTCAAAAATCTTATTATTAATAACTGCTGAAGTCTTATGAAACTTTCTTTATGGACTCAATCCATCTCAAGTTTGGTCTTCCTCTTTTCCTGCTGTCTTCTGTTTTTGATTTATATTATGATGATGATAATTGAAGTCATTGTCATGATCATTAGTGGTGGTAGTGTCAGTGCTGCCAGTAGTATGGCTGTAGAACAGTGGTTGCAAAAAAGAAACAGCTAGAGTTAGGTGGAAATCCTGGCACACAAGAGCAGGTGCAAAGCTTAATAGAAGAGCAGGCAATCTACCAAATGCAATAAACTGTCTATTCCTGTGTATGTATGGATTGTTTATTCTGGATTTCCACGGCGGAGGTGGGGAAGGAGTGAGTAACATAGTATTGTTAGTCTTCTGTAGCAATATCAGCAGTCTTAATGGCATGTTAAAAACTGAGTAGTCTTATTGGACATAAACATTCATGGGCTAAAGTACACTTCACTGGAAGCAGGATGATGCACCTATGAACTTCCAGTGCGAGAGTCTACAAAACTGTATGCCGAGTAAAGCTTGCCAGTCTTTAAGGTGGTGCAAGATTCTTTGTTGTTATCAGAATGCTATCAAGGGGGATACTCAGGATTGCTACAAACACATTATATACATGTGTATACACAGTGGTTCAGTCTGTTGTGACTCAGTGGAAAGGGAAGCAGATGTGCTGCCTTAAATGAGTGTTGTTGAAGGAGGGTGTGTCACCTATACTGTGAACAGTTAACTTTCAAGAGTTTGATGGTGGGGGTTCTTTCTTGAAACCCCCTTTGAAAGATTATTAAGTAACTGTGTTTCACAAAACTCTAGATCATAGTGTTACTGGGGAGCCTTGTTGAGGAGACATTGAGGACATTTGTGTGTGTGTGTGTGTGTGTGTGTTTGCTGTGGCTTATTGCTCTTCTGTCATACTCATCTCATACTCTTCTTGGGGAAATTATGCCTATGTGGTTTCTCTTCTTCTCTTTTTTTTCCTTGCAACTCCAAAATCTCTTTTGCACCTCTTTCTTTTACATCTTCTGTCACTTCTGTCCTTGTTCTACTCAGGAAGTCCCATCTAGGTGAGTGGACAGTTCTTGGAAAGGAGGCAGACGAGGGAAGAAGGAATTGAGGAGACCAGCATACAAGCTGTGAGACTGTATGCTAGTCCCATTCCAGCTGTTGAAAGCAATGTGTTTTTGTTTATCTTTCTAGTACATACTTAATGATTCAGAAGCCAAAATAAAAGCAGAACTATGGATGAAGGAAAATGCTGACTATTTGAAAGAACAGAAAGGTAAGCAAAATACTTGTGGGACTTTTTCTGGTGGCTGTGGAGCCTTTATTTTTAACAATATTTGATACCAACCTTTTATGAGGGACTGATTCATTTTTAGGTCTGAGGAAGCAGTCTTGTCCACGAAAGCTACATTAAAATACAGCAGTTAGTCTTCAAGGTGCCACAGTGTCTTTGTCTTCTTTATTTTTAATTTTTCTTATGTTTTGACTAGAGTCCTATTCCGTTACTCTGTCGACTACATCACACGGGGTGTCCATGCCATCTATATATAAATAAAAATTAAAAATTTCCACCTTTCTTCCATGATGGAACTCAGTGACATACATAGGATCCCCATAATTGGTGGGCTAATGAACCCACTTGTGGCTACATCAGTCCTATAACAGGGTGTAAGTTTCTTCTCAGAACTATTGCCATTTTAGAAGCCCCTTTAGTTTGCTCTGGCTAGGACAAACAGCAGGACTGCCATGCTTTTCTTGATCACCTTGCATTGTGATCAGTGGCAGGAAATTGGTTGTGCCAACTCCAGGGTTGGTAGAGTTGAGACCTCCATCAGGGGATAAGTCAGGTGAGCAGGTAAGCCAGCCCCAATATGCCCCATTCCTCCCCATTATTCCTGGCAGAAGAACATCTGTCCTTGCATTTTGCACCATCTGGCAGCTTAAATTCTCTTATGTCAGCAGCTGCTTCCCCACGCCTCCAGGCTCCACAGCTGGCAGAGTGGCACTTACAGTGTATGCAGTTCCCCCTTCAGCTGGCTTCCTCAGATAAATAACAAAAAAGTTCAGCTGTCTGATAAAACCTTGGTTCTCAACATGCACTAGTGAGTGGGACTGTAGGTAGCTCAGATAGGTAGCAATTACTTGAAATTTACTTTCCCTTCATCCCTATCTTTGACTTCAAGTTTGGTGTACCATGTCTTATCAAAACCACCTCCCATGGACTATCTGTCTGACATCTTTGTGCATTAGTAGTATCTTTGGACCACTTAGAGTTTTACTTGATCCCACTACCCCTGCCTACCAATGTACAGTATTGTGAATATCAGAATGCCTGCAAATGCGTAAACATCTTTCTCTGAAAAAGTGGACTTTATGTTTCTCTTATGATAACAAAGAACTCTGGTTTCCTTGACAGAAAGAGTTGCAAGATGCAAAAAATAGGGAACCATAGTTCTAAAATATTGCCTGGATTTGAGTCGGCCTTTCATGCTATTTTTCCATCTCTCTTATTGCAGAAAAAGAAGCAAGGATAGCAAAAGAGAAAGAACTTGGGATTTATAAAGAACATAAGGTAAATAACGATTTCAGAATAAGCAAATAATATTTCTGGGCTCCTTTGCTTCAGATATTCTATGCTCCTGGGATATATTAGGTGACTTATGCTAGGTAGACAGAATTCAGTCTTATCTTGCTGTGTAATAAGGTTTAGGAGAGTAACACATCCTGCCATTGTATATTACTTGTCATATAACAAAAATTTAGCTTTTAGACAGCAAGCCTTATGCTCATTGGCTAAAGCTCTGCCTTATATTACTTGTTTCTGTTCAGTTCTGGAGTGGACATTTAGCTAGAGCCAGAAATAATTATTCTGGTTATTTCCTTACCAATGTTTCAGGTACCTTAACCTTCCCTGTTTATCAACATGGCATCGGCTTTGACATGAAAGTTATGCCCTGGGTTAGAGTCCCTTGTTATATTTGGGTTGTGGAGCTCTGGGTTGGTGTTGGATGTACAGTTGTCTAACACCAAGTAGATATTCCCATTTCATGTTAGGAGAATGCAGATTTTCAGGATGCGCTCAATGAATCTTGTGTTATGATGGATGCTTAGGTGCTACCTGAATCAAGGCCCTCATATTCTCTGTCTTACCAGTAATTATGCTCTCTCACTGGTCTAAATGCAGTCATTAGTCCCCACTAGAGTAGATCCATTGTATCAACTGCCTGTTTGGAAAGTCAACATTATGTAAAACCCACTGATTCAGTAGATCTACTCTGGTGGCGATTGGTAGTTGGATTTTGTTGTTGTTGTTGTTGTTGTTTTAGTCGTTAGGTCGTGCCTGACTCTTCGTGACCCCATGGACCAGAGCACACCAGGCCCTCCTGTCTTCCACTGCGTCCTAGAGTTGGGTCAAATTCATGTTGGGCGCTTCGATGACCCTGTCCATCCATCTCATCCTTTGTCGTCCCCTTCTCCTCTTGCCTTCACACTTTCCCAACATCAGGGTCTTTTCCAGGGAGTCTTCTCTTCTCATGAGATGGCCAAAGGATTGAAGCCTCAGCTTCAGAATCTGTCCTTCCAGTAAGCACTCAGGGTTGATTTCCTTCAAAATGGATAAGTTTGTTCTCCTTGCAGTCCAGGGGACTCTCAAGAGTCTCCTCCAGCACCACAATTCAAAAGCATCAATTTATTTATTTATTTCATTTATACCCCGCCTATCTCGTCAATTGTGACCACTCTAGGCGGCAGTCAGCCTTCTTTATGGTCCAGCTCTGACTTCCATAAATCACTACAGGAAAAAACATAGCCTTGACTATGTGGACCTTTGTTGGCAAGGTGATGTCTCTGCTTTTTAAGATGCTGTCGATGTTTGTCATCGCTTTCCTCCCAAGAAGCAGGCGTCTTTTAATTTCATGGCTGCTGTCCCATCTGCAGTGATCATTCGTTCGTTTAGTCGTTTAGTCGTGTCTGACTCTTTGTGACCCCATGGACCACAGCACACCAGGCCCTCCTATCTTCCACTGCCTCCCGGAGTTGTATCAAATTCATGTTGGTTGCTTCGCAGACACTGTCCAGCCATCTCATCTTTGGTCGTCCCCTTCTCCTCTTGCCATCACACCTTCCTAACATCAAGGTTTTTTCCAAGGAGTCTTCTCTTCTCATGAGAGCAGTGATCATGGAGCCCAAGAAAGTGAAATCTGTCACTGCCCCCATATCTTCCCCTTCTGTTTTGCCAGGAGGTGATGGGACCAATGGCCATGATCCTAGTTTTTTTGATGTTGAGCTTCAGACCATTTTTAGCGCTCTCCTCTTTCGCCCTCATTAAGAGGTTCTTTACTTCCTCCTCACTTTCTGCCATCAGAATGGCATCATCTGCATATCTGAGGCTGTTGATATTTCTTCTGGCAATCTTAATTCCGGTTTGGGATTCATCCAGTCCTGCCTTTCCCATGATGTATTCTGCATATGGATTTAGGCCAACCTTATTTGTTTCCCATCCTACCTTATTTGATTGGCTGCAACCTTTTAGCCATCTGGGGTTGTATTTCACATTTTATGCCACCAGATGTGTTAGGGAGAAGGAAGAGATATACAGCTGCTATTTTTGATGACACTTATTGGGAACATCTGGTTTCATTCTTCTTTGCTTAAAGTACCACTCTTTCTATGTTAGCGCCTCATAGAATGAGCTGAGAAGAATTTGAATTATGAACTATTTTTTTCCCTACAGATGTTGATGAAGGCAGGGCACAATATGATTTACATGTTGCATTTTATACCTTGCCTGATTTCTTTGCCCCTCTGAAGTCCCTGCTGAGCTTGCAATTGTCCATTTAAAAGGGAAACTCCTGTTCTTGAAAGTGTATAGGAAACCACTCCTTCACTTGCATCTTGTTTTATCGTTTTCCAGCTTCAGTTGAGGTGAGTGCACTGCTCTTTTCCCAAGATCGTACAACCACTTGGGACATGGGTTAGAAATAAAAGCAGAAAAGTTATTTCTGACTCTGGCTCATTATCTGTTCTGGAACAGAAGAGAAACAGTTCTGGAACAAATGCCTAAATCCATTATTTCTAAATCTGGCATGGGGAGCAGGGTTGGCCCCAGATCCCTAGAATGCATCTCCTGCAATCTAATGCCAGTGAGATGAGGCAAATGGCCAGAATCCTAATGCAGACATCAGTCTTATTAGTGCTGTGTTTCCCCCACCTCCAATTCTGGCCCATATTCCAAATGCATGACGAAACTGGAGTCTAGCTTCCTGAGCCAAGCTCCACTCCTAGAATCGCGAGGCATGAAAGAGGGCTGTGCTGAGATCTGCTTCTCACCTTGTGAGCCGAGAGGTGAGAGTGGCGCCGAGATAGGGTTTTCTTTTGGAGCATTTGTACTGTATAGGCATGATTAAATATCATGTCTCCAGGGCTTTACAGAGGTGGAGAGAGGAATCGTGAATCTTCCTCCAACAGCTCAGAATTTTTCATTTAGCTTCACACAAAATCTTTGTGTTGTTCACTCTGGCCCTGCAGTTTTTATATACAGAAAGCAGAGCTGAAGCTCAGCAACAGAGTGCATGCTTGACATGTAGACTATTTCATGTTCTTCCCGATGCCTGCAGGTAGGGCTGGAAAGGATTCCTCTCTAAAATCCTAAGACATCCTGTGTATGGATTAGTCTTTCCTAAATTGTGCTTTCCAGGTAGACAGTGGTGCAACTCCTCTTTAATGGCTGGAGATGCTGAGTGTCATAGTCCAATACCTCTTGAGGACACCAGGTTGAGAACGCTGTCACAGACAATACAATACTCTGGTTTCAGATCTTATAAATCTTTCCTAGACAGTACCAAGTCAGATGCACCATTGATTGGAGTCAGTGCAGAACAGCTTCCGACATCTGTACTGCTTCCTTCACTTTAGTGTGTGTGGCTTTCTGACCTTATTGCTTGGATTAGCACATGTGATTTCACAGAGGCTTGCATTAACCCAAGCCCATTAACTGGCAGAGTCCCAATGCCATGTGTTCCACTTGGCTGCCTCCGTTGAGCCGTAGAGCAGCTGTCCTGTGGGAATTCTGGAACATAGCTCTGTACTTTTACTTAAACTACTATTGTATCCCTAGAGCTGCTTGCTGTAGCAATGAATGTAATGCCACTTGGTATTTTTATTCCATTCTATCAGCAGCAGCACTTAGACTTCTAGTGAGTTTTTATATCTGCTTGTTTTGGTGGCAGAGTCGGAGGGGTCGCATTATATTTTTTAAGCAAGAATGTAAATCCCTTTTCTTTCTCTTTCTTTTTCATATTTACAATTTATAAAAGGTACCCATTAGAACCATTTCTCTATATCTGGGACCATTCTAATCTATAGGAATAAAGCATGAGAAATATTGGCGTGGAGGAGGAACCGTCTTAGATTTGCAAGCTGAAAAGATTGTCACTGGCTGTAGAGCTGGCGATTGGGAGTTCAATTTTCGATTGTGTCTCCCGAGTGAAGAGCCAGCCTGTGTAGCCTTGGGCAAGCGGCACAGTCCTAGAGTGCCCCCCATCCTAGAGTGCCCCCAATTTCTTCTGAGGACGTTGTACTTCAGAAATCCTGGCAAATGTTGCCATAAGTCAGAATTGATTTTCCAGCATAAAATTAATTAGCACCAAAAGTGATTGATGAAACAGAAGATGGTTGTGCTTTCCCTACCATCACTGCTGTCACCCCTCTCCTACCAGCCCGCTCACCTAACTTCTTCCTTTCTCCTTCACCACCACTTTTCCTTCCTCCTTCTCCCCCTCCTCTTTTCCTTGCTTGCCACCCTTTCTCCTGTCACTGCTGCCATCATGGTTGTATTTCTTCTCTGCAAATTAGTCCTAAGGAACTAATAGATTTCCTGCTCCAGTCTAACTGTGCCACCTGCCAATTTCTCATGCAACCAGCTCCCATGTGAATCATGATGATGAAATTCCTAATTGGCAAGGGGACCACCTTGAACATACTGATCTCATCTGATTTTGGAAGCTCTGCAGGGTCAGGCCTGGCGAATAATTGGATGGGAGAGCAGCTGAAAACACTAGGTATCTCCTTGTAGCGCGAAGAAAACATTCTGAAAGCCACTGCCAGTCAGAGTTTAACAATATTAGACTAAATGGGCTGGTGATCTTTGTCATGATAAGGCAACTTCCTACGTTTCTGGCAAACTGCACAACAGCTTTTGAACTCAGTAAAATTATTCTGATTGCCCCTTTTATGTTTCACTTAAGCCCAAGAAATCGGCAAAGAAACGGGAGTTGATCCAGGCCAGCACAGCAGGAGAAGCAATTGAAAAGATGCTGGAACAGAAGAAGATCTCAAGTAAAATTAATTACAATGTGTTAAGGGACCTCAACAGTAAAGGAGGGAGTGCACAGAAGAAGGATGATAACAACACTGTTGACAGCAGCAGCACCAAGAAGCTGTCAAGGAGAAAATCTCTCGCAGCTCGGAATGTGGCCAACTCTGTCAACAGTGTGGGGAAAAGGTACTGCAGTTGTTCATTTATCGTTCTCTCTGTGTAGCACTTGGTGCATCCAGAGATTGTTAGCGTTTCTTTGACACTTGAATAATGTTGGGTCTCTCTCATTTACGCTAGCATGTGGGACCAGAATAATTCCTCCTCTGCTGGTCACGTCTCAGTTAGCAGCTTCAATGTGGATTAATCACCATGGGGTGAAGGCATCCATCAGAACCCATAAATGCGTCACTCAACTGCCATTATTGACTTCCTCACAATTCTCTGATGTTTTTCATTCCTCCCCTTTGACGAAGTGATCAAATATCATGCTAGATGACACGATAAGCACGCTGAAAGGCTCCCCCCCCCTTTTTCCTTTCATGTTGATTTGAAAAATAGGTGGTTCTTCTCTGCTGTGACAGTTTGCAGTGGTGCGGATTTGGTTCCTCAATTGAATTTTATTCCAAATGTTGGTTTGCTAATTACTGCTTCGGATATGGAGCTTTTTAGTAAACAGGCATGCCGGTGGATTGCACATCCTAAAATGGAAGGAAAATGGGCGGGAAGCGAAGTTGTTGTGCTCGTAGGCAGAGTGATTCTAATATGCACTTATTGATGATTGCATTTAAACTATACGTGTAGTATTGGCAATAGCCAGCTGTCTCATTACTCCTCATGTCTGTGTTGGCTGTAAAACTGATTTCTGTGATATGATGACTTCCTTCTTGGCTCTCCTATACATTAAAGAGGTTGGAGTTAGCAAACCCTGTAACCTACCCTGAAGCATCTTGACGATGCCAGGTGGTTTCTCAGAAGAACTTCCTCCCTCCAGGTAAGGAATCTGTGGCAAGGCTTGCTTTCCCTGTCGCTGACATTTGCCCATCCATCTCTCTTTCCTGCCTCGATTAAAGCTGAACCATGACTGCCTTCCTCTTCAGGGGCAGGGCTCTTAAGTAAATGGATGCAAACAAGCAGTGGGATGTGAAGTGACAGCCATAGCTGTAGGGAGACAGAGGCTACTGCCAGTGCAGAATTTGTCCCAGTGCTGGGGTTCCAGGGCAGCTCTGTGACACATACCAGTTTCTGTATAATGAGCTGTCAGCAGTCTCAAAGAAACCCCATCTACCACACAGCTGTGGCAGCACGCATGGGAATTAAGTAAGTGTGATTGAACAACATTTGCGGCTGCCGCTTTGCTAGAGGTAGCTATAGATACACGAACCTCCCATCTGTTTATCCAAAGGTTGTTTTGAAAGACAGGGATGGCTACTTGCCATCTGAAAATCCTGTGGCAGTGAGTTCCATATGTGAAATATGCATGATGTGAGTGTGTTGTCTCCTTGCTTCACAGTGTGTGTTTGTTAGACGTTTGCTTGTTTGTAGTGAACTTACATTGACTGTTGTTGCAACCCACCCAACATCAGCTGTTTTGGATGTGGGTTACTGGTATGTTGTTCATTGTGTCACCCTGAGAATACAGTATTTGTTTTCACATGAAACTCCACAAGTACTGTGGATACCCTCTTCTGCTTACTTATGTTCATACTGCGATGATCTGATTTCGGAAATCATTTGTTTTGTTCCAGTATTATGATTCTGTTTGTTTACGAGAACCAGACTGTTGTCTTCTGTTCTCCATGTAATAAGGTCTGTATGGATTACAGTGATTTTAGATCCATAGAAGAGATACTCTGAATGTCTTGATTTCCAGCATGTTATTGCAAAGAGACAACATCAAGGAAGGCTGTAAAGAAGAAGTAATAGACAATAATGAGTCTGTTTGTTGTGCATCATGGGGCACAGTACAACTTTTCAGGGTGTTTCTTCTTTATAATTTATCATTTGTTCCAAAACATTAACTGTGTTTGGTATCTTTAGGGACTGGCTATATATAGTCCATTTCTTGAGCACCAAACTTTTCTGTGTAAATCGAGCCCTATGGCACAGTGGTTAAATTGCAGTACTGCAGTCAAGCCTCTGCTCGTGACCTCAGTTCGATCGTGACGGGTTCAGGTAGTTGGCTCAAAACTGACTCAGCCTTTCATCCTTCCAAGATTGGTAAAATGAGTACCCAGCTCACCTGGGGCGGGGGGGAGGGAGGGAAGGGGGTATAGCATTCTTTTTCTAATTATGTTCTAAACTGCCCAGAGGATGCTCCAAGCACTATTTAGTGGTATATAAGTGGAAACAATAAATAATAAAAGATCACACATTCTGTCCTCAGCATTTTTAATCAAAAGGGTCAGTGGGAGGTATGTCTGCAAAAGATTTCTGGTTGTAACCCTGGGCAGCCACAAGAAGTCAGATTTTGGAAATAATTTGTTATAAAATGAGTTTATTATCCACAACCCTTAACATTTTCAGTAATGGTATTAAAATTTGTTGCTTTAATCATGAAGGGCATCATCCAGTAGCGGCACAGCAGAATCCAGTAGAAACAGGATTGCCAACTAAGTTCACCTGAGAGCTTGGAGATGCTATTTTAAACCAGAGGATTCTGAGGGCTGCAGTCCAAAAATAACATTTCTAAGTTCTGATCTCCATCTGTATCCTCCAAATCATCAGTTTTGGGGTTGCAGAGAGGAGAGGAAACAAGAAAGTACTTCTGCCAGTACAATATTTGATTTAGGCCTGATGGTGAACGGTGTACTTTTAGAGTACTGGTGAACATTTCTCATTACTTTAGTTTGTTAACTGGCTGTTCCTAGTAATTTTGAATTACAATTTAAAATTTAATGACTTGATAAAGTAATGGATTTATTAGCAGATTAATTAATAGATTAATTGACAGATCAGTGTTATAAAAACACTCGTCAGATTAAGATTAATGAATTAAATTTCTTTAGCCTTTTAGCATTAGATTGATAGTGCCAACAATAACGTATCCAAACTCCGGTCAGGGTTGATTGTGCTAAAAAAAAGGATGAATTATCTGATTCAGTACAAGACTTGAAAGCCTGTCATACAGAGGAGGGGCAGGGTCTGTTCTCAATCATCTCTGAGTGCAGGACACATAACAGTTGACTCAAGTTACAGGAAGACTGATTTCGGTTGAATACCAGGAAAAACTTCCTAACTGTTAGAGCAGTGCAACAAGCTACCTCAAGAGGTGGTGGGTACTCCAACACTGGAGGCATTCAAGAGAAAATTGGACAACTACCTAGCAGATATCCTTTGATTTGTATTTCTATATTCAGTGGTGGGTTGGACTTGATGGCTGTATAGGCCCACTCCATTCAATTATTCTATGATTCTAAGAGAGTGTCATAAGATCACAGAGTGTGGAAGTGGATGCAAATGAAGTGCATGCAAATGTAAAAAATTCATGTTTCAAATGCAGCGTGTCCCACTTTAAAAACTTGGCAAGTGCATAGATTATTTTGATTTTCTCAAGATTAAAGATTTATTGTAGGCCTTTTGATTTTTCCTCCATTACTCGTAAGTACAGTACATCTTATATGGCATGCATAAATTCCTTTGTTCAGCATTGTTCTTGGATGTAATGCATAAATTCCTTTGCTCCTTTGCTTCTCCAAGGTGTTAACAGATAAATGCATTTTCCCAGCAATAGAATAATCACAGTAATTTATGTGCAATTAAGAACAAAATGTACTACACTTCTCATTTGACAATGAAGCCCCTAGTGTGCTTTCTTCCGGAAGTCGCAAGCACAGATTTTGTATGCTGCTTAATTTGCAGTGATTAGTAATCTTCTTTAGATATTTGAAATATTTAGTAATATTTTATTTGTTAGGTTGTGAGGCTGGTCTCATAAGCAGCAGTGAGATGCTTGAATTTTAACTCAGTACTTCAGTTAATGCAAGGCAGAGGTAACAATGGCCCTCCAGATTCTGTTAACCTACAGCTCCCATGTGCTCTAGTAGCATAGTCATTGGTAAGGGATTCTCAGTCCATAGGGCAATAGTTGCTCATCCCTCAGGTTAAATCTGCAACTCCACTGATAACATTTGCACTGGTGTTGGTGTAAATCGGTGCATTGACATCACTGTTTAAATTAAAAACCAGATTTTTTTGATGATACAAAATAAAAATCGTTTTAAAATTTAAATAGTGGTTTAAATCAATTTGATTTTTAAAAATGTTTTAAAATTTAAATAGTGATTTAAATCAATTTGATTTTTAAAAAAACACACACTGATTTGTATCCACCCTAATTTGCCAAACCAAGAGTTTGCCAAACCTCCAGAACACGGCCAAACAACCTGAAAAACCTACAACAACTATCGGATCTGGGCTGTGAAAGCCTTTGAGAACACAAGAGCGCTCTGTGTTGCTGTCCTGTATTACAGAATATTAACCAATTGACTGTGAAATCCTTTGAGAAGACAAGAGCTCTGTGTTGTTGTCCTGTATTACAGAATATTAACCAATTGTGAAAGAGCCCATTTGTCCTTGGTTTTGCAGCATAAGAAGCTAAACTATCCAGGAAACAAATGCTTACTACGTTATCCAGTGCTACTCCGAGCTTTTGACTTCGAAACAAACCAGGAAGTCTGGTTTGTATGGGGCTAACCTAGATTCATTCTAAAGGGAAATCCTAACCTCTTTAGGATTTGGTGATGTGGGAGTTATGAGGAGTGGGTTTGTAAATTCTGGGGTTTTTTGAAGCCCAGGAAGCCGAAAGCCGGCAGCGGGCGATGGGAGACAGAGGGCAGCGGAGGGGGTCTAGAAGCCCGGGAAGCTGCAAGCCAGCAGCGGACACAGAGCGGCTTTTGGCTTCCCGGGCTTCCAAAGTTGCACCGGCTGCCCTCTGTCTCCTGTCCCCGGTACCCTCTGCCTCCTGTCCCCGCAGGCAAAGGGCAGCAGGGACAGAGGGCAGTGGGCGTAGCTTTGGAAGCCTGGGATTTTTTTTTCCTTTGGCTGGAATGGATTAAATGGTTTTTTAATGCACTCCTATGGGAAATGGACCCTCGACCTACGGACTTTACGACCTGTGGCCACCGTTCTAATACGGATTAATTCCGTAAGTCGAGGGTCCACTGTATAATATTTGTTTCGTTATTTTA